GTGTCAATCAAGTCAGCGAGCCTGACCAGCCGATCCCGTTAGTCGCCTCTCACGACAAGCATGGGTTGCTAAAGACCAATATCCACAATTGACAAATAGATCAAGTACGATTTTGTGTTATAATCTCTTTTCTTTATTACATGCATATCGGGTATGGCTTATATATACTATTATATAATATATTGCAATACACCTGTTTCTCCTGGAGGTTACCACCTCTGACCCCATCCCTTTCCACCTCGAATGATATTTCATTAATCGAAAGTCCTTGGTACTGTTTCAGAAACCAGATCTATGTACAGTGGTTTCTGAGGGACACTTCCACCTTCCGAATGTATTACGGCATTGACATCATGATGTACAATCATCGGAAACAACAGATGTCGGTGTTATTTTACTTAATATATTTATTATATATTTGCCAGTAAAAGTTGAAATACATAACCTGTCATGGTACTTCAGAATACCGGATACCTACCAGCCATGTTGTTTAGTGTCACGTCGCCCTGACCCTAACAATAACCCTACCCCTAAACCTTACCCTAACCCTAACTCTAACCCTAACCCTAAACCTAAACCTAAACCTTACCCTAACCCTAAGTAAACATCGCGTGCTTTCAAAGATGGCGGGAGGTATCCGGTATTCTGAAGTCTTATACCTGTCATCTTTATTCGGTTCAGTTGTAGGGGTGGCCCAGTCGTTTTTGAAACGATGGTAGTGGCCTTCTGTTCGAATCCCTCTTTCGTGTGATCATGTTTCTAGGTTTACATTGTCATATCCTAACCCGCGCTCGCTAGGTTTCACTTATACAAAGGTCAACACTTGCACCACCCTCATGAAGGGACATGCTGAAATTTAAATGTTATTAAAAGCGGCGTTGATCAGATTCACTCACTCGTTCACTCACTTATTTCAGGAGTAATCGGGCGTGCACACTGGCATACTATATGTAATTTCCAACTTAACGTCTTTACAATACAGATAGAAGAACAACGTTATATTCCTATTATTTTAAGAAATTATTGTTGAGGAGCCTATATTGCAAAAACTTGTCTCGAGTACATCTACTCATACACTAGGCGTGACTTGGTAATATCATACCTTCCTTTACAGGTTTGCCTGGAGTGATAGATATGAGATTATTATAGCTAACAAGCCCAAGTTGTGAGTAAGCCTGTGTCCACTGCTTTTGTCATCCTCTGTTTTATACTGTATCTTGAAGCCTTTGAATGTCCTTGCCGAATCCGAATGGAACTCAATGAGAAGGTATTTCCCAGTGCTGTTGTAGGAAGGCGTCATGAAGCCACAGAAGGCTCCAAGTTTGGGTGACGTGAGAGAATTGCCTGTAAATAATCAGATATCTATGAAATCGAAGAAGGGGCATTATCGCGTTGTCGCCCTTACAAAAACAAGCAGAACGTGTCAAAATTAACCAAAGTGCGACAATGTCCCTTATACTATTCCATACGCCATCACATTTCAGAATATGGACCCGTGAAGATCCGGGTTAGAATTGATCTTCAGTAACCCATGCTGTTAGAAGCGACTAACGGGATCGGGTGGTTAGGCTCTCTGACTTGTTTGACACATGTCATCGTATCCCAATTGCGTAGATCGATGCTCATGCGGTTGATCACTAGATTGTCTGGTCCAGACTCGATTATTTACAGACCGTATAGCTGGAATATTGCTGAGTGTGGCGTAAAACTAAACTTACTTACTCACTCACTCAGAATATGGATTTAAATTAATATATTGTGAACAAGAAGACGTTTGTAGTGAAGACCTCCTAAATATCGCCAAAATATTTATGATTCCGAACTGCATGTTTGCATTCCATATGTATATACACAGGCATCAACGACGAAGTAGTAAGTATACTATTTCTTAATTATGTCGGAAATATGAAAAATGTTGAATATACAACACATTAATATTAACGGGCTAACAAAACACATTACCATCCAACACTCTTGCCCAGTCGTATCTACAGAACAGTTGGTTTTCAATGTTGGAATCAACAACCCGCATGTGAACTGTATTCTCGCTTGGTGCTTCTATAATCCAATGACACCGGGCTTCACTGTAAACGAGACACAAAAATAAATAGGCGTATGTTAATGTTTTGAACAGGTCAAAGCGGAACACATCACATCAGATCAAACTAGTACATAAATGCAAATTTGCAAATAAAAAAAACAAAAACAGTCTCATTATCAGAAGAAATCTCTTCTAAGGGCAGACTGAGAATATCGTTAAATTCTGTTTGTATCACAGGCTTGTATATATTTATTTATGAAATGGCCATGATTCACGAACAATAGGCAATCCACTATAAACGTGTATACGAGTTACTATTACATGGCTATGAAGATCTGGCTGTTCGCATAAATCAAAACATAATTTAAAATTTTTCAAACATATATCTTACAATCAAAAAGATTTTTGTTATTATTGCAATTGTTCCATTGTTTCCCATCTTTCTGTTCTTGTCTGACCAAATTGTATAATTGAATGGAAATAACATGTAAGTTCCGCGAAGAGGGTGTTCTAAGTTGTATAACTTGTACCACATCCTTTTCTCATGAATAAAATATGTTTAAAGCAAACAAAACAAACGTGTATATCCTCTAGAGTTATGTATGCTCTTACTTTTGATACATATCAGGGTACCCAGGCGTGGTCAGAAACTGGGGTGACACTTTGGCTGTTAGATTTGCTCCACAGTGGTATTGTTCTGAAATTGATCATTTGATCATAGATTCCAAATTCAAATGATTCTTTTTAGTATTGATATGAACAAGTGATGAATAACTACAACTATATTAAGTTGTCCAAAAGACATTATTGGTTATTGTAACGACGCAAGCCAAGCCTGCTTATGTTTCAGGATGAAGTAAATACCATTTCTGTCCTTATATGTCTTTTGTTTCTTAATTATGCATAGTTTACTTACTGTTACTACAGAGTTACGTTCATGATATTAGACAGAGACAGTTTTATGTAGAGCATTATCTTCATCTTTGACATGACAGATATGACAACGGCACAAGAATTTGTATCGAAACGTCGCACTCACAAAATATAAGAATTTGTTATCCATAAAGCTTATTCAATATTGTACGTCCCAACTTCTATCCGGGGAGAATGGTATCCTGGACGTCTAAGATGTCGCAGGTTGCTGGACATAGTTAAGATATAATCAATTGATAGAGCTATGTCCACTTGGTGTGTTCAAGCGACCATTGGTCTGGGATTGAAAGGAATAAACATTCGTTATACTTTTAGAAGTATTATCACCTTCATGTACCTGTGGTGGCGAAATACTGTAGTCTGAACCCTTTATATGTTCTGTTTGAGTTGGTAGTAAAGTGAAGAGTCATGCCTCTGGACATGCTCTGAATGGTCGGTGTCATCGTCCCGCACCATGTGTTTATGTGTCTACTGCTGGTGTTGTACCCTGCAAGAACAAGCCACACATCCCATATACCCAAATACACCATATGGGGTTAATATCAGAAAACATTCGGCAGAAAATAAGGGCTGTCACCTCTAAGCTTACTTGTACTAAGTTATTAAAATTAGAACAACAAATTGATCAATCACACACATCCACAATCAAAGTTACAAATAAAACATTCCTTTGAGTTTGAAACTTTTATACAGTCAAATATCGGAATAACTTGTGTGTGTCTAAATGACTTGACTGAATGTACATTTTTAGATTGAATTATGAAAACACAAGAAAGCATATTGGGCACATTTCTATCTACTTAACTACCAGTATAACTGCATTTACATTCTATAAAATGCTGAGTTATCGCAGAGCTAAATTATTTGCTCACCATCATATACTTTGACAGAGTCGTATTTGCATTCCATCTCATTCTCAAGTGTAGAATCCAGAACCACAATCCGTATCATGTCATTCTGTGCAGGTGCCCTGATACTCCACGTACAGCTGCAGTTACTAGAACATATACATGTGTTGTTGCATCCAGATTGTTACAATCAGGAGACAAGGGGGACTGTTAATTGAAGGAGGTGTCCCTCAAGCCAATGTCTCAGCAGCTCATATTCCCAATGGTTACAAGGAATGAGAAACCAAACAGCTTTCCCAGGAAAGCGGTGACGCCTGACGTGACTAATTTAGGATCTACACCAAAATATCGCCACCTTCACACCAGAGAGATGTTTATCATCGATACAGAATTTGACACGACTTCACATCTCTACTGTAAGCTGTGCATGCTAATGCAATGGATTAGACGGAATCCGGACAGACAGCCTCAACACTGATGTTCAGTACGGTGTGCCATGATGTTAACACACTCTTTCTGGTTTTGATGTGTTCACATGCCACAAGTTATTGAAGCCAGCTTATTTATGATAAACAGTAAGAGAGACGTGTGCTGGACAACTTATTTCATAAACTTTATGAAAAGTGACGAACTTGTGTTCGGTGAGAACATAATACTTACTTTGATTACACCATGCCATTTAGCAAGTGGTCAAATGTAACATATGTTATATTATGTACTTTTGATATATATAAGAAAGTGTAAATCCCAAATATAACATATGTTACAATACTTACTTTGGATAACCAACAGGATAACTAGGTGATGTTAATTCCTGGGGCGAGTTTGAAGCATTGAGGATACCCCCACAGGTGTAATTTGAACACGATCCTGCTGTGAATATAAGAGCACATTTTGAAGACAGTGACTAAATTAGGAATCCATAGGGATTCCTTGTTAGAAATGGTTCCTGACAATGCTGTACTGCTTTTAACATCCGACTTAATCAATAGTGGTTTGTCTGGGTGCATTTATGTACACGTTGTAGCTTTTCAACGACCTCCATCGATGTGGATTGTTACTGCCCATACTCAATACCAATCCTTGGATTTATTTTCCACTCTCGACCTTTTTACAGTCTGTCGTCATACTACTGGAATACTGTGGGTGTCAAAGCGACAAAGCCTTACCACATTCATAAGAATGCTAAAAGCACAGTCGATTGTATAATTGTGACTATATCTTGAGCATATATTTGTTTCAGCAGAATTACAGCTGCTTGGTGTTTGTGAATAAATCAAGTCTGGACCAGGCAATCTAGTGATTGTCACCATGAGATACGACAGAGCATGTGTTTATGAATCACTATGAAATAGTGACGATACCAGGTGTTCGCGGAAAGATGCGTGTATCCTGCACCACCGGTGGCACCCGTCATAAACACATGCAAAGTCGTGTCAATTGTTCACCTGAAAAAAATCCGGAACGTCTGGTACAAGCAAAACTATTGAATTGCATCAGATATCATGTTTGTTACTGATGCATCAAAGTTCGAAATGTCCTCCACATGTCTTCCATAAAACTTCTTGAAAGCAACTTACAAAAACATTCATTCGCAATGTTGTACCCGTGACGATACTGTCCGGTTTAACGGGGGCTGAGTGTAGATGATCTTGTAAACTGAACCTGTTATAAGACAAGGTATTGAGGACGCTGGTATAAAGTGTCAGAGAATCGTGGGTGGTACATGTAGGTATCGTAATGGGCTGGGATCTACCATCGTCATAGATGATGTATCGAAGTGTCACCAGTGGTTTAGTTGTACAAGCTTACCGACGGTGGTTCCGCATCCACTCAGTGTGAGGAACAGACAGGACAGGAACGTAATACGAGACGTACGAGACATACACACACATTGAGGCCATTCATGTCGGCGATGTTGACTCTTTAATAAGTGATACGTGGTCTACGGTGTCAACAAAGTGATACAGTCGCGATTGAACATAGTTATCTGATACAACACAATGTGACCTCTGACCCGAGTATCAGTATCAACCGTTACTCACAGCTGGTCTCGTGTGTTTGCTATTCTAGCGACAGCACTAATGCCTACTTTCGTAATAAACAGAAAACACGTCAAAAGCTGTTGCATTTCATTGGTCTTTCACAGAGAGACTGTTTCAAAACAAGGAACTCCAATAAGACCTGTAAAACAACTGTAATCAAGCATGTTTCGTTTATTAATAGTTGTCTGATTACATTCATGTCTGTTTACAGAAACCAACATGTACATTAAATACTTTAATATATCTAATTTGATGAAATATCTGCTGAGTTTGATTTGCAGAATCTTATGTGACTGATTTAAAATGATGTAAAAATATATTTGGAAGAAAAGATAGCATTATGATAACTGAAAAGCACTTAAATATATTAAGAATTCACCTATTTGCAAATTAATTTAATATTTATTTGTTTCTTTTGGATGAAGATAAAATTCATTTTTTATGAGAATTTGTATACATATATTGCTTTGGACTGCAGTTGACAGACTTTATCGAGAATGCATGGTTATCACCCCTTGAAACCGAAGTCGATGTTTGTCGAGGGAAAATAAAACGGTCAATAGTGAATTTAAAATGTTAAAACAAAAGGAAGTTGGATAAAAAAAATCAATCATGATAAAATGCCTAGATGGCTCGTGCAGACATACACCAGGATTCTGATAAGCGTATATAATCTCTGTCAGGCATCCAGCAGAACATTGGTATCTCGTTTCCACTTTGCTTTGTCCACTAGCAATTGATGGAGATTCTGGTACGCGCTGTGTAATTGATGTACACCCAGGCATACGGGCTATGTAGTATTCCGGTAGCTGCATGGTAACAACAGAGGGTCCTCAAATTGATACAAATACAGGATACCTCCGAAATAAAAGAGTAATAGTACCAATTGTAAGCTTTGTACAATAGCGAAATGTGGCTTTTAAGACAACTGTTCCACTCGTTGGTGAGTGAGTGAGTTTAGTTTTACGCGGCTTTTAATATTCCAGCAACTATCACGACGGGGGACACCAGAAATGGTCTTCACACATTGTGCCCATGTGGGGAATCGAACCCGGCTCTTCAGCGCGACGAGCGAACGACTTAACCGGTAGGATACCCCTCCGAACCTACTCGTGTGTCTCTGTCTGTCTGACATAATTACATGCACCTGTGCACATTAGTTCACATTTATAAAAAGAACAATATTATAGTTTTATCACTAATACTTATGTATTAAGTAACACACAGTATACTGACTGCGAGCCAACATTTTACATCGCCTTGATACCGGGCGCCAGGCACGGTAACAACAAGTAAACGACATGCAGAAAAACAAGTTTTATTTTTAAAGTACAAATACACACACTGAATTTGTGAAGCAAATAATACTGAATTTATATCATTACATGTTTTGTACATGTTCTAAAAAGCTAGAATAAAATATGAATATTTCAAATATAACTGATAATACTATTCATTTATAATGAAAGTTCACATTGTCAATACGAGGTCAACATCAATCGCGTTTCACATACGTCACCAAATGTCTGATAAACCAGACCGGCATTCGGAAGTTTGTAAATAAAAGAAATGATTGGGAATCAATCGCGGGTCAAAAATCGTGTCTTGATTCACTGAATGGAATTCACACACCCTCCAGACGGGACATTTATCTCATCGAACGTACATGTACTAGACTTAAAACCAATGTGGTCGAAATTCCAAAATGCTGACGCGAGTCACGACAGCGATAAGGAAACTAAATATTTCATTACATGTTTCGTTTCCTCTAAATACTACGTCGGTTCGGGTGAGCTAGTGCACGCTCTATGAGTCAGTTCAAAAACAATACATGATAATGTACATTGTTCAGTGATGCCTACCGCTTGTGGCCTAACTGCCTTCTTGATATTGCACGAGTACTACTGCTATTTCACTCACGTACCCAGCCACCCCACCCGCTCCCTGCCCTTATCTTCCCCTATCCACTACCCTTGTAAATCAATTGTCTGTTCCCTTATCATTTGGCCTACAACCTTTTGGATATAGCGGCTGGGTTGCCCGGTGATAATTTCTTTGAACACATAATCGTGACCAGGTTGTTTACCCACGTTTTAGCTGTCAGACTTCACATCGTCTAATAGACCTGAGATATGACCCTGGTGCATGCGTCATGTAACGCTGAATATAAACCCCAGCACTGCAGCAGTGTTTACGACTTCGTCGGAACTTGGATTGTAACACATATGCAGGGAAATAGATACTGGCTTTTATAGGGACAAGGTTTTTCTAACGTGTGACCGTGTTACTCGCAGTCAAGGGAAGCATCAAGGACAACAGAGATGAGGCTTTCACTACTCTTGCATCTCTTGTTCATCTGTGCGCACAAAGGTATATCTGTAATTTCACCTGTTGGAAGACAATATGTATGACATTGTCAGAAACAAAATGCTTCTGTTTGATTTAATTTGGTTCAGGTATGTTTAGGATTTCTTGGTTGACATGTGATTTTCTAAATAATGTAACGCTGCGGACATTCTAGTTCTGTACCTCTGGCGTATAATGAAAAACATGCTGAGGTTGCCATGGTCGGGTACCATCTTCTTGCCATCGTACCCAAATGTTTGTAGTTAACCTTTCAATTATTGATTTGCCTGGCCGATATTTTACAGGTTACCTGGATACAGTAACGTTTGCTGACTGCGTTGAATACATTAATTAACTCTAACTACTGTGATAGTTATAGCCAATCTGCTGGTGCTGCTCTATCTTTCATGGTGCAGGAGCACGATATGACTTACATATATGCACCAGTATTCTTCCACAATAGTTAACGGTCTTCTATATTTACCCTATTCCTAGTGTGCCGACAGCCTCGACCGGATGGACCTATATTAATGATGTGTTATCGTGTTGTGTGTAGCGAGTGAATGAGAGTTGTTTTATGCCACAGTTTTCGGTTACGCCATTCTTCTTAATGTAGACGAAAGGCCTGAAGTGGTGCAAGCCTCACCAGTTTGATGAAAGGTTATGCTTCTGAGAGTCCTGAATAATACCATGAACAAATTTTGAATTTTTGTATCTTCCTTTCAGAATTATGTTCCAGTTATGTCACAAGGAGGGTCATTCACGTTGACAGTGTTCCGCGTACTATTGAGGCTACGCCACCTTACCGGGGGTAAGATTTACTTCCAGAGCATTTTACCTTGTAAACAGTACGAGTGACCGAGTTTATTTTATGCCGCCGCTGTTAGCGGAGGGGGAAACCAGAAGTGGTATTCACACTTTGCACACATGAGGGGAATCGAATCCTCCCCACCACCACCCCCAACACACACACATACACACACACACACACACCAACACACACACACACACACACACATACACACATATATGTATAGTATGAATATCCCTAAGGTGCCTGTAAACCTGCTCACAAGGCCGTATTGTATAACTGAACTCGTTTTATTCTTTCATTTAACGTGTTTCTGTTAAGATTCAAAATTCAAAATTCAAAACTGAAATACTGTATATCTTGATGCATCCAGCATACACTGAGAATTAAATATATGTTATTAAAAGAGGTTATGTAATATTATGAAACAATTTCAATGGTGAAGGAATTTTCAAATATATAATAAAGCAAATACTCATCATGTATCGATTGGGAGATGAAATCTATCGTCACTATAACTAGTTTTATTCATATAATCACGTGTTTTGGAGACAGTGGTCATCACTTTGAAGATACAAGTGTATCGCATTCGTAAATATTACTGTTGAATGTGTGAGTTTTAGAAATGGCATCCACTCATTGTACCCATGTGGGAATCGAATCCCAGGTCTTCGGCGTGACGAGCGGACGCTTTAACCACTAGGCTACCCCACCGGCCCAAACTATTACTTCAGAACAGCCACAGATGCAATCGAGACTAACGTAGCCCGTGTGACCGATCACCTCTGTGCGAAAAATATCTCTACTTTTCCTTTGTGCATAGAAGTACGGAGCACCGAGTATTTTAATGTTTCAATACACACAGAGAGGGGGATCGACTAGTCAGAATTGCTCACCCAAATGGCACACATTGAATCCCATTTGCATAGATCGAGATAGACAGATACACACACACACACACACACGCACATCATCACACACCTTCTGTCTCTAGGTAAAATGTGTGGAACCTTCTGCTTTGTGCTTTATACACTAAAGTCTCTCATATTTCAGGTCAGCTGAGTGGCGCTTCTTGGTTAGTGATGTGATAGGGTCACTTATACCTTGACCGTCAACACCAGGTTGCCGCCTACGAGGAACTGTTCACAATAATAACTCTGTCATAAGTATCAAAGAAGGTATTAGGTTTGATACATACCTATGTTGTTTGTTTTGCACTATAAGATAATTGACTCTAAATCATTGGAGTGCTTTTTTTGGTTTTCGACTTACACTCTGTGACCTAAATACTGTTTGTTGATGCACTGACGTCAGCTGAACCATTCATAGAAGAATCGTTATGATTAATGTTCATTTTATTCTTAGTGTTTTGTACTCGTGGTGTCTGTGGGAGGTCACGGTGTCTGTTAGGTGCTAATAGTACAAATTGTTTTAATATTGTTGATATAAACCTTTATTGGTTAATATATAACTCATAAATCATAACCATGAGGATATGAACTAGGCGGAACTCTAACGGTTTTGCACGCAAATTCACTAATTTTGGGGCTGCTTGATGCCATATATATAGTTATATACCATTTTTAAAAGGAGTAGGTTAAAAGACACTATTGATTGTGTGCTTCTTGAAGGTTTATTTGAATTCTTGCTTCTTTATAAATCTCCATGGGTTCCGTTTCTTTGTGTGAAGACAAAGGTAGAATTTGATGTTTGCAGCCTATGATACCGAGAGAGGTGTTTCTCTGCGGTGACGGAGACTATGAAAGTCATGGGACGGTCGTTACTGCA